TTTGGGCAATGAATTTACAATGGTCATGCGATCATTTCTGCAAATGAATTTAAGTGTAAATTATGCAGGAATAAGAATCCAATCAGAGGAGACTCTCAAATAGGGATCTTTCTCTTTTATCTCCTCCTCCTTTTTTTTATAATTCTCATTTATTCTTCTAGAGGGATATTAATTTGCATTGAAAATAGGTTTGCCTTGCTTTGATTTACTTTGCAAGTTCACATGAATAAATTTTGCCAGTTCAGTAGCATACAGTATTAGAACAACATGATATGTAATATAAGAAATTCGTTTCCAAAAAAGGGAATGTGTAAATGTGAGTGAGCGTGTGTGTGCACGTGTGTTTTAAGGAGAGGTGAAAATATGAGGATATTTCTCTTCCAGTGTGTAATAGTGTGTTCAGACGTTTTCATTTTTAATAAAAGTTTATAATATTGAATAATTTCAGAAGTTTTAAACCATTGTCACATCTGCTGTCAAGAAGTTTGTAATAGTTGAATGTTTGTGGAAAGTGGAAATCATTATGTTCCTGGCAGTAGTCAACACCTGGGTTAGACTTTATAGGTAAACATATCTCTCCAGGCTTTATTCACTGTGTTTGAATAGCTATTGTCATTTGCAGCTGATGTTCTGAAAGACCCAATGTGCAATTACAGACCTGCTGCTTTGATGACATTATCAATGACTTCCATTGGGACTTGCTCATTACTTATGAATCTAACAGACCGTCTCTTATTGAGAAGTTCGTAAAATTCCTGGGATCTCCGAACCATTTCCCTCTCAGGATAACGGGTATGGGAGAATGGGATGTGTTCAACGTCCTCCTCTGACTCTTGCCATTCATCAGCATCTGCAGGTAAGAACAAGAAAGACTGTGAATTAAATGACCTCTCTTGGATACGAAGGGGAGCATGACATGCCCCGCTAAATATGCCTTTCTAGTGTAAGAATTATTTTGAGTTGGTTATTTTTAGGAAACAGGAGAAGCACCGAAAAGCAGAGTAGAAGTCACCCTTTTGCAAGAGACATTAACGTTTACAAAGGAAGCCTCCATTTGGAAGTGTCTCCCTCTCTGTACCCGGAAGAGAAGGATGACTCAAAATTACAAGAAACTCTTTTAAATAGAAAAGATGTAGACTTAAATCTCTGAAACAAACTTACCCTCGTTTACTGTCTTTTCCTGATGACTTCCCATGACTGGCTCTCCCCAGCCCCCAACATGATTCTTTTGTCTTTATTTGAAGATGGTATTTAGGGCCGTTTGGGGGAGTTACTCAGTTTTCCTGGGTCTCTCCCATGTGCACAAGAGGTACACATGCTATTAAACTTCTGTTTGTTTTTCTCTTGTTAATCTGCTTTCATTACAGCGGCAGGGGTCTCAGCCTAGAGACCTAGAAGGGTAGATCTTGGGCAAGGCAGCTAGGCAGTACGGGTAAACCCTGGAAGATGCTGATAGTTGAAGGCTGTTTGCTGATAGCACTCCCAGCAGAAGGGACAGCAAGCCCTTGAAGGGGAATCTAGGTGGTCCATTTCCATGCCCATCACACTATAACCCTGCAATTCCACATATGGCTCAGAGAAGCTCATGTACATGGGTACCCAAAACAAGTATTAAAATGTTCATAGAGGCATGGGTTATAATAATCCTAAACTAGAAATAGCCCATATATTCATCAACAGTAGAGTGAATAAATTGTGATATACTCATGAAATGGAATATTATACAGCAGTGAAAGTGAATGAACTCCAGTAACACGTCTAACCTGGATGAATTTTACAAATACAATATTAAGCAAAAGAAGCAAGTGGAAAGAATATAAACAATATAATTCTACTGTTTAGGGATGCATACATAGGTGATACATCTGTAAAGAAAAAAGCAAAGAAGTAATTTTCACAAAATTCAAAATAATAGCTACTTCTGTCAGATATGGAAGAGGTTATGACTGGGAAGGAACATGTAGGGGTCTACGGAGTACTAGAAATGTATATTTCTTGACCTAAGTGATAATTACATGGATTTTTGCTTTAAAATTATTTGTTAAGCCATTCATCTATGTTCTGTGCAGATTTTCTATGTTCTGTGCATTTCATGGTTAAGAGGTTTTGTTTGTTTGTTTGTTTTAATGATAAGGCCATAGAAATGAATTACCAAAAAAAACCAAAGGTAGATCAACTAACCACAACTCTTAGATAAGGACATCTGAGAAAAAGAGCAAAGACACGATATTTTCTTAGGTGAGATAAGAGCACAAGAGATGAGCCATTTGGGGAAGGTGGAGCAGAAGTAGGAATAGGAATCAAGGGCACAATTAACTTGTCCTGGCCATGCAGTAATCCTTATGCAGCCAGAACTATAATCTAGGTTACCTAACTGCTAAGTCAGTGTTTTTTCTCCCAATATAGTAGTCCTCCCTTAGCACAAGTTTTGCTTTCTGAAGTTTCAGTTACTTATGGTCAACTGTGTTCTGAATATATTACATGGAAAATTCAAGAAATAAACAATTCACAAATTTTCAGTTGTGTGCCACTCTGAGTAACACGGTGAAATCTCACACCTGTCCTGCTCCATCCCACCCAGGATGTCAGTCATCTCTTTGTCCACTGTATCCCCCCAGTTAGTCCCTCATAGCCTCTGAGTTATCAGATCGACAGTCAGGGTACCACAGTGCTTGTGTGCTTATTTTACTTAGTAATGGCCCCAAAGCACATGAGTAGTGATGCTGACAATTCAGATATTCTCTTCCTGTGTCTAATTTAAGTTAAACTTTATCATAGTTGTGTATGTATAGGAAAAAACAAAGGATGTGTTGGGTTCAATACCATCTGCGGTTTCAGGCATCCACTGGGGGGTCTTGGAACATATGCCCTGAGGATAAGGGGGACTGCATTAAATGTCCAGAAGGCGAGAGGTCACTTTGGGAGCCCTCACATAAAGATGAGGATGACAATAGGAACAGAGAAAACAGACCAAGAAGAGAGAGGGCCTGGCCCTGTGGGTCTGGGACGTTCTGGGTGGAAGAGAACCCATTTCCCACAGGCACATCCACGCACTTCAATCCAAGGTACATGCGGATGGGGAGAAGAAGGCAAGAGGGAACACGGTGAAAAAGAACTTCAAAGAGACTGAGAACCCAAGCACCGTACTGACAGCTACCAAGGTTAGCTCAGTGCTAGTGTGAGAAACTTCTTTCCCACTTTGCGAGCTGGTGCAGCTGGGGCCCACACTGTACGCATTTAATGAGGAGGCCCAGTTACTAAGTTAAAAGGAAGCAGGTGTGATGGAGGAGTGGCAACAGACGCCCATCAGCTTTCTAACAATCCACTCTGTATCCAGCCCAGATGTCATTAGTATCAACCCCAAACTTTATCAAATGGGTCAATAAAGACTTTCAATCCCAGTGAAACTTCCCCTCCCTTTATAATGAAGTCTGCCAACCTCTCCAAGTCAGTAAGTAGTAAATGAACCAATGCACAAAAGACCTCCTTGACTTCCGGTCCGTTGAGCATTGTATAACCTAAAGGCAGCCAGGGGACATGACTCCGCAGTGTTGCAGCCTCTCAAGTCCAGGGCAGCCTCCCGCTCTAGCAGAAGGAAGGGCCGCTGCCTGAACTTCATCAGCACGGCCGTTATCTCTGAGCAGGGCAGACAAACGGTCCCAACCACCGCTGGGCTGGAGTGTCCTGAAGAGCCCTCCAAGGCACAGGGGGACTGCCTTCCCTGCGCCTCTCCCAGGGAGGAAAGTCCATGTTCGGTCTGAGGAAAAGGGGCATGCCTGGAAAGAAAGCTCCAAGGATCAAGGGCCGTGAAGCAGTACAAGAGGTACCACTCTGTCCTTCCTCTTGAACTCCTGACTGCGCCCGAGGAACGCCGCCCTCACCAGAGGGGACAGAAGAGCTTCCTTCCACAGCTGTCCTGCCTCCACCCCAGACCAGCCAAGCCACTCTGGGAGGTTCATTCAAGCAGCAAAGCCCACCTATTCCAAAATTAATGTGTGCTATGATGCTCTGCTTTTTAACATAGGTTCTGTGCTGCCACACGCCGGGTTTGCTATCGACACCAAGACCAACTGGTCTTTCATCATTGCTTTAATGCCAAGGAACCTTGAATTGCTCTGTAATTAGGTTTAATGGCCAAGTAATTCTAGGCCACGTCTATCCTTTAATGTTTGACTTGGAGGCATTTTTCTGGCTGCATCTCTCCATAAATTGGTTTTGTGTTTCTGCAGTTCTACTTCAAAATCTTTGCAAGTGGGCCAAATATTTTCTAGCTGGGAAACGACAAGGCCAATTTGTGTCAAGTCTTCCTTGTTCCCTCCTTGCAATTTTGGGGGAAACTTAAGCAGCAATATTAATAAGCCTCAGGGTGACACAGCTCTTGTAGGAGACAGATTCTGAAGGTGGGGATGGGAGCAACACCTGCCCTGAGGACTCCTCCTACCCAAAGGCCTCGGCCATCACTCTGCTTTCTACATGGGCCTCTCAGCCATCCAACTCCCTCACTGCAGTATAGGCTGATGATTTCACTAGCAGCAGTCGGGGTGGGTGGGGGCCAGGGAGCCTGGGAGTGTCCAGATAGAAAGGCCTTGAATACAGCAGGGCTATTCTGGGTGAAGCTGACAAGACTTCTGAGTCCCTTCACATCTTCGTGGTGTCCCCAGTGTCCTGTACTGATCTTCACTCTCCCCCTAGAAGAACTCATTCAGATTCAATCCCAAGGACAGTGTCTTCATTCAATTTCTTTCCCTTCTCTAATCTTCTCTCATCTGAATTCTAACCTCCCTCCCCTTGGTCCTGGATACATAATGTCTTAGAGGAGTCCTGGTAAACCAACCTTTTAAAATTAATCATTCAGAAGTATTCATATGTGAGTGTGTCAAATGATGATGAAATGCAAAGATGAAGCTGAATTTATTACTCCTATAGCAAAGGAAAGCTATGCTGGTCATGTTCTGTGAACACAGGAGAATGCTGACTTTACACAGTGTTTTTGTCAGTGGTGTGCTGGTAAACCAGTTCTCTGAGAGGTGAGGAACGAGAGCCCTGATTTACAGCATTTACCAGTTTCAGTGGAATAAATATTCCCATCATGGCCTGACTTCAAGCTACTGATAATTGAACAAACGGCCCAGGATTTCCTGCGTATTTAAGAACTGGATCTTGCCGGCTCCACAGCCTAGCTCCAGCACACCACTTGGTGGGGAAGCACGGAGTTCAGGGATTGGTGGACCTCCAGGACTTACACAAGAGCACTGATGTCATCTCTAGGGACAGTGTTACTACGCTGAAATTGTTTTTGATTGGTTGGCACTCAGAGGGGCTGGTACTGGAGTGAATCCACCCCTGATTGGTTGACTCCCTAAGCTTTTACTGAGATGAGTTGTCATTGATCCATT